GCTACCACTTAATTTAAACATGTACTCAAGGTAAATTGCCTAACTGTATCTACATCAGTGCTTCAAAATGTAGAAAGTGCCTAAGGCATTCAGGGCTATACAAGTAGCAAAAGAACGTGGTTCTTTCCAGTCACACCCTCAACATTATCTTATATAGCTCAAATGTCACCTACCGACAGTGACTTTCCTATATCACCCCTCCAACATAAAAAATTCTGTGCTTATTCTGATAAAACAATGAACACACCATACCTAGTAACTGCATGTTGTATATTCAACGTGTACTTTTAATGTTGATGTAGTTAGTAATGGATTCTCTTTGTTTTCTCACTGACCCTGAGGAGACATCTAATGATTTATCTAGCTCCCCAGCTTTAATAAGGGAGATACTGTTTTCTTCTCTATCTGTGGAAATCCCACTTAAGTCAATGATCTTAACTGTACAATTTAGCCCTAAAATGCTTATTGTACCAGAGAGAAATGTTTTCATACTACATGGAATCCCAAAGGTCCAAAGCCAGAGAACTTGATTTCTGGTTCCCACAGTCTTTCACTGACTTTTTCACTGTGTTCATTCCCTTTCCTTGGCTAGTCAGGCAAGAAGGATGAGGTAGGTGCCTGCAAGGAACAGCCCTATTGGCATAGTTCCTTGCATGATGGGTAAGTAAGGGAAAGCCCACGTTCAGCTACTGAGCACCTTTCCACTTGTCTATTCTAAAAATAGCAGCACCATTTTTAATTCCTATAAATATGGCCCTGGTTTGATCACTTCTGACATTAACTGTTTTTATGTTAAAATATAATAGAAAATCAGCCACTCCTGGGATAACAGTTCCAGCTCAGTATCCATTTTCAGCTACGTAGCTGCCCCGGAAATGTAGTGTGTGTGCATAAGAGTGCTATCAGAGGAGAAATGCCCAGGCTTGTGGTCAAGAGAACTGACCTTGATGAAAATGGCTCTTCAAAACCAACATAAAAGCCAATATCATAATAGCCGAAAGCTACAAGGTCCACGCTGACAAACTGAAAGTACTGTAAGATCTTGGACCTTGCTCTGCGCTTGGGGGGGGGGGGGGGGG